AGGGACCGGCAACGGGATTGCAACCCTCAGCGTTGCCCCCGCGCCTCGCTCAGCCAGTGAGCGGGAACCGGTCTGTATGTGGGATCCGAACCCTCAGGCGGGAGCGCCGCCGCGCTTCTCAAGTGGCGCACTTATCCAGTGCGCCACCGGGCCGGCCCCAAACATTAGAAGTTTAATCATTAAAATTAGAAATAATAAAAAAGACAAGAATGTCCATTATCACCAGTAATGTTCCACATTGTACTAGGGTCCTGGTCATTGTAATATGAATAAAATAAAAGAAATAAACTGCATAAATGCAGGTTGCAAAAAGACTGAACTCATTATTTGCACAATATGACTGGCCACCTAGAAAATGCAAGAAAATCAATGAAAAAATTTATTGCAATAAGTAGAAGAGTTTTATAAGGGGCCAGACATAAAATTGATGTTTGAAATTCAATTGCTTTCTTATATGACCAATAGCCACTAAATACTCCCAATATATCATCAACCAAAAGTATAAAATACTTAAGCATAAACTAAAGTAGAAATGTCCAAGATTGCCCTTATGAGGTAAACAATCTAAGTATCACTAAAGGACATAAAAGAAGATGTTCATTCTTCCCTAAAATTATTGTATAAATTCAATGGAATTGCAACCAAAATCCACATGAGTTTTATTTAATGGAAATTGACAAATTGATTCATAACTTCTTATGTGAAACACACACACACACATACACATGCCCTACAAGAACAGCCAAGAAAAACTTGAAAAACAAAGATAAAATGAAGGAAGATAATTGCCCTACCATAGTATACAGTTATGGTAATTAAACAATGTGTATATATAATTTTAAACTTCAGTTTGATAAAATAAAAAGAAAGTTAAAACACAGACAACTGACCAGGAGAAAATAGTTTCAACTTTCAACGGACAAAGGATTAATAACTATACGTACATAACTCATATATATATTCAGTGATTTTATATGTTAGTCATTATATGTGTGTGTATTCATTATGTGTATAGTCATTATATATACACACACACACACACACATATATAAAAGTTACTTACAAAAAGATAACTTATTAGAGAAACAGGTAAAGGATACAAAGGATATGAGTAAACACTTAGAAAAGAGGAAATAGAAATGGCCAATAAACATAATTTTTCAAATCAAATCAAAAAAGTTTTTGTGTTTTTGTACATTAAAATGGCAAACTTTTATGTTAAATAGGTGTGGAGAAGTGGATGGATAGATATCGGCACGGTCATTTAGGAAAAAGATTGTCAGTATCTACCAGTTCCTGATATTTCTAAACCAGTTGACACAGCAATCAAACTTCTGTGAATACAACATGTAAAAATTGGCAACAAACTTAATACCCATGACGAGTGTGCATTTGCTAAATAATTGCTGAGGGTATGATACAAATATCTAAAATGATAAAAATTATTCTATTTTCATTACAACTTTTTAAGACATGCTCCAGGCTGAAAACAACAACCAGGATTTAGACAGGGCAAGGTGAGACGGGTTTGTCTCTGCTCCACGGTGTCTGGAGCATCAGCTAAGAGGATTCAACAGCTGGGGGTTATTCATCAGCTGGGACCTTACCTGCAGCTCTTGACTAGAGCACTTAAAAGGGGCCTCTCCCTCTGCCTAGGCTTCATCAAAGAACGATGATGACTTCAGGATATTCCAGTCTTACATGGTGACTTAAGACTCCAAAAGCGAGTATTCCATACAAATATGGAGAAACTGCATTGCTTTTCCTGATCAAGCCTCATACAACACACAGCATCATTTGTGCCACATTCTGTTGTCACAAGCCTGCCCAGATGCAAGGGAGGGGACATAGACCCACCCTCAATGTCAAGATGTCAAGGTCACATTGTGAGAGTATGGGAGATACTGTTGTGGCCATCCTTTGGAAAATACAACCCGCTACAACATATCAGAGAAGAAAGCAAACTGCAGAATATTTACAGATTGATTCTATCTACATTAAAAAGAAAAAAACCTTTTTTGTATGTGCATGTGCATGCAAATGTAATAAATGTGACTATAATTATGCATGGCAAATGCACAGAAAATCACTGCAAAAGATATACACCACCGTTGACAACAGCTAGCTCTGAGGAGAATAAGACTACAGGAGTGAGAAATAGAGGGGATCTTGCATTTTTTCTCTATGGGTCAAGACTTTGCAATGAGTTCTGAGTTGAGATGTGCAAAAGGACAAGAAGCAGTGAATCTGGGAAACTGAATGCAAGTAAAAATGGGGCTTGAGACAATGATTTGGTGCCAATCAAACCACCTCCAGATAAATTTATAAAAAGCATGATACAGTATCCAACCACTCAAATGTCAGACACCACTGAGATGAGAGGAAAAAATTAAAATGAATGTCCTGATACTTGAGACAGACTAGACTCAAGTTGGTAATGAAGCTGGGACTCATGAGGCTCATGCTTTTTTGTTTTGTTTTGTATCACTTTAGCTTTCTAGGAAAAAGTCCCTCTTAAAAATTATAGTTTGTTTTTGACTTTAATAACAGAAAAAAGGACATTTCCTACTTGTCATGATAGGTAGGAACATAAGAGTATCCCTCTTGACAAAGTGCTGCCCCAGATCTGGACTCAGATTGTGGGTGGAATCAGTAGCAGAGGAATAAATGAAGTTGGAAGTGGGTGGGGTTTTCTCATTGTATGTAACCATTTTCAACTTAAATTATTCAAGCTTCAGTGTATGTACACTTAGCCTTTGAATGGGAATTTATTACAAAAGTTTGAATTCATAACATTTTATAGTGAATACCAAGACTTACTATAAAACTACAGTAATCAAGACAGTGTGAAAATGGCATAATGACCCTATGGAATAGAACAGAGAACTGAAATTGACCCACACTTATATGGTCATTTGATTTTGACAAAGATACCAAAGTAATCCAATGGGAAAAGAAGAGTCTTTTCAACAACGGGAAAAAAAAAAAAAAACCCCAAACTATTTATGTACACAAGAAAAAAAAAAAAAAAACCCCAAACTATTTATGTACACAAGAAAAAAAAAACAAAAAGAGCTAATCCTTACCTCACACCATACACAAAAATTAATTCAAGATGGATAATAGACCTAGTAAAAGCTACAGCTATAAAGCTTCTACCTTAGGAGAAAACACAGGAGAATATTTTTGATGACCTAGGAGGTAGGCAAAAGTGTCTTAGAAAGGACACAGAAAGCAATAAACACAAAAGAAAAAAGTGGATAAATTAAACTTAAATTAAAAATACATATTTTAGTTAAGAAAAATTAATAGGTTAGCCACAAACTAGGAAAAAATATTTGCAAAGTATATATCTGATGAAGGAACGGTGTCTAGGAGATATCAAGAACTCCTATAACTCAGTAATGAAAGACATCCCAAAACAAGGCACTTGTAGGGAAACAAAGTCCAAATGATGTTCAATATGGAAAAACAACAAGATACCCAAGAAAAGAATTAATCCAATACCACTACAACCTCCGTACTTTACCCAAACTCTGAATATAATGGAAGAATATTTGATATTTTAAAATTACAACATTAGCTGGCATATAGGTTTGTCCATTAAAAGGAATTCTGATATAAAAATAAGTATTTCCTTCTATTAATCTCCTAATTAACTTTTAACAACGTTTTCATAATAATAATTCATCAAAAAATCACACAAAAAACTGTTACATATAATTTTTTTTATTTCACAGCCTTTTAAAAAATATAAATCACTAAATGTCTTGAAAAACATACACAGAATAATTATTTAACAACCAAAATGTTACAAAAATAAAATAACACAGAATGAACTGCACAACAGAACAAAATAATGTCTGCTGAATCACTCTGATTAGGGACACAATGGCCACTAGGAAGGTTAAGTGGACCAGCACTGCTATTTTTCTATTATCAGTATCAGTAAAATCAATCACAGGATCTATTCCCAAGAAAACATTCCATTTACTACAGGAACATATGCAATGTATATATATCAAGTTAACATCTTTAATTCGGTTCCAAAATACCATTTTTCCTTTGCCCCTGGGAGACAAGTTCAATGGCAAGGTGGAACAGTGAAGACCATAGGACACCAAGCAGATAACTTAGCCCACACCTCTCCCAGCTGATTCTAAAACACAAGAAAGAGAAGGATGTATACGGTGCCATCCAATATACTACCCACCAATCCCATGTAGCTATTTAAACTCAAATTAAGTAAAATTTAAATTTTACTTCATCAGTCACACTAGCCACATTTCAAGTGTTCACTAGCCACATGTGGCTAGTGGTTATCATATTGGACACTGCAAACATAGGCCATTTATAGCATCACAGAAAGTTATTTTGGAAAGCCCTGGATGTGGGAAGTGTTTCTTCTCCCTTTGCTTAGCCAGGATGTAGGCTGCTTATGGAAGCAGCTTTGAGAGGCAATTCTTCTCCCAGGATATTTCTAGATTGGTGGTGGAGTCACAGAAGGGAAGAAGGTAGCCTTTCTTTGCATAGATTATCCTCCCCCGTGCCTGAAAGGGATGGTCTTTTTATGGGGATCAAAGACACAAACCTAGATTCCACCAAAATCTAATTGACAGGCAAATTAGAAAGGAGATAAATGATGCACATGAGGAAGCAACAAAGAGGAACATTCTGTGTCTTATACCAAACCTCCATAAAGAGACTATATCCACCAAGAAAGAGTGCAAGTCCCCAAGGTCCTCTTCTAGAATATCCTGATATGGAGCAAGTATATTGGCTAAAAGAGAAGGTCAGTCCTGTCAAGTGTTTCATAAGGACACCTGGCATGTCTTCACTCCGCTCACTCAGAGCTGAGCAGTATTGCTTGGAGTTTTGCCAGTTGAGAAGAAGCTACCATTTTGATCTGTTTCAAACATTATGCTCCTTTACAACTGTATTTTGTAACCAAAGGCTAGTTGTCCACTCAAGATCCATCACCATCTTCTTCCTTATTAAGAGAACATGGATTTTTGTTGAAGGTAATTATATGTCCAGCTACAAAAACTACCTTTCTCAAGCAATCTTGCAAATAGCAGTAGCCAATGACACAGTTCTTGCCAATGAGATGTAAGCAAAAGTTTTTGGACTTCTGAGAAAACTCTTTAAAAGGAAGCGGACTCAAACTGGCATGCCCTATTTTCCCTTTAGGCTTCTTCCTTCTTCTTGTGAGGAACTGCAGGAACCATCTTGGAACCTAGAGGAAAAAGCCAAGGGAACCTCAGCAGCCACCTTAAGCCAGACATCTGTGAACTGCTGAACTAACACCAGCAGTTGCCTACCTCCAGCCTCCTTGCTACATGAGAAAATAACAAAACCCTGAATTTGCTTAAGCCATTGTTCAGTTCAGTAACTTCCTACTCCGTTATTGGGATAGCAATCCATCTTGATTCCCAACAGGAAAGTGAGATTTCCATCTGAAAGTAAAAAAAAAATCTTGCCTGAAGAATTTGTACCTATTCAAGAAATTCAAGTAACTTCATAGAGTCATACTAATAAAACAAAGGTTGAATATAAAGATTATAACTTGAACTTAACTGTGTGTTCAGTATCTGTCTACAAAGACCAAGAATGGCAGAAATGATCAGGCTCACTATATAAAGTAGGTGCTATTAAGGAAAATAAGAGGGTTTTTTTTTTTTTAGCTTAATCCATCAGGAAGTTTCTTCTGAGTGCCTATTCTGATTACTGTTCTAAACACAGGTCTGCCCTTTTGATTACTCAACTTCCTGTATGATACGATACCCACTACTCAGATAATCAGATGATTATTTAATCTGTATTTTTTTATTTGTGTAAACAAAATAAGAAATGGAGAACTGAAAATTTTATTTCACTGATTCAAACAAAAGAAAACTACATCAAAAATCTACAACTCAGGGCCGGCCCATGGCTCACTCAGGAGAGTGCGGTGCTGATGGCACCAAGGCCACGGGTTCAGATCCCTCTATAGGGATGGCCGGTTAGCTCACTTGGGAGAGTGTGGTGCTGACAACACCAAGTCAAGGGTTAAGATCCCCTTACCAGTCATCTTTAAAAAAAAAAAAAAATCTACAACTCAATTTTTTTTTTTTTTTAGTTAAATAACTCAATTGGCTTTATTGTGTTTCTAGAATCGGACAACACATCATTCCTTAAAATAGAATAAGCGTTCCAATTACATCTCAATTAACTTTTCCTTGTAGGTGACACAGACACCAGAAAGTGATATCCTCATGATCCTGGAACTTTAATTGTGGATTTAGCTTGAATATGCACAAACACCTCAGAGTAGCTATAAAAATTAAAAACAAAGTACAGCTCTTTGAAGATACTTTCTATGTACTACATTAGAATCTTTAGTATCCCAAAAGTCCCTAGATTAGAATGGTTTAGAAAAATAAAAATAAACATTCCCCGCTATCCTGGCTATTAAATATCCTTCCATATTTTGGCTATTGTAAATGGCTTAACAATTTACAATGTTTACAATTTTGGCCACTTGGGCCGGCCCGGTGGCCGGCGGCGCTCCCGCCGAGGGTTCGGATCCCACATACAGACCGGCCGCTCACTGGCTGAGCGAGGTGCGGGCGCAACACCGAGAGTTGTAATCCCGTTGCCGGTCCTGGTCCGGTACGGGCGCGACACTGAGGGTTGCGATCCGTTGCCGATCATGAAAAAAGACAAAAAGGGAAAAAAAAATTTTTTTTGGCCACTTAATTTAACACTATTGCACTTATTTTGAAGCTATAGACAAAATGGGAAACATGGAATGTCAAGCAAAAAATAGCATATTGCATGTTTTTTTACTCACCTAGATCCAAGTTTTCACCCCTGCAAGTGAATCAAAAACAAATCCTGGCACCTTGTCATTCCCAGAAAAGCCAGTGTATGGCACCCTCTGGGTGAAATTTATCTTTTTTTCTGTAGAATCACACCAGATGGCATGGTCCTGCATCTACAGCTGTGCTCTAAAATTGAAGTTCAGACATAGGAATCTACTCTAATAGACATTCTAGCTTTGCAGGTTTGAGTGTGGTGTCATTCTCATTCAACTTAACACAATTATCTTTCCAGGTAACTGCAGGTCAATTATACTTACAAGTTTGGAAATTAGTGAAAAAATCAAGCTTGTCCTAATAATATTTAAAGTCATTTCAAACAGCTGAAATTTAGAGACAATAATGAAATAAGAACACTTGAAATAAAATACTAAATATTATAGAACAGAATTATGGCTTATTTCTTTGTAACGTAAGAAGTCAACTCAGCTTCTAACACTGTTGAAGAGTCACTAAAAACATTTTATTGAAAATAAAATATAGGAATCTTCTATAATTAAGTTACACTAATATAATGAGCAGTTATTTTAAATGTTCCTGACTTTTCAAATGCTTTAATATCTACTCATATTTGCCTCATCTTTTTTATTATTAAAATTTTAAATTTATTATTGGCCTATTCATTCTTACAAATCATGATATTTCTTTATGCCCTTTACCCGACCTATCAATTCCCAAACCCCCTCCCTCCCTCCCCCTGTCTCTAGTTTGTTCTCTCCTTCTGAAAGTTCAACACATTGTTGTGGTCTTTTCTTTCTTTCATTCTCTCCTTTATCCCTCCTTCCCTCCCCCACCCTCCCTCCCTCCCTCCCTTCCTTTCTAGGAGCCAATTATGAGTGAGAACATGTGGTATTTCTATTTCTTTGTCTGGCTTATTTTACTTAAAATTTTTTCCAGACTCATCCATGTTGTTGCAAATGGCAAAATTTCATTCATTTTTATGGCTGAGTAGTATTCCATTGTGTATATATACCACATTTTCTTTATCCAGTCATCCGCCAATTGACACTTAGGTTGGTTCCATATTTTGGCTATTGTAAGTAGAGCTGCAGTGAACATGGGAGTGCAGGTGTCTCTTCAACATGAAGACTTCCATTTCTCTGGATATGAATCCAGTAGTGGGATTGCTGGATCATATGGTAGTTCTATCTGTAATTGTTTGAGAAACCTCTATACTGTATTCCATAGTGGCTGTGCTAATTTACAGTCCCACCAACAGTGTAGAAGGGTTCCCCTTTCCCCGTATCTTCATCAGCATTTGTTATTCTTGGTCTTTTTAATAATGGCGATATCTCAATGTGGTTTTGATTTGCATTTCTCTGATGTCTAGTGATGCTGAGCATTTTTTCATGTGCCTATTGGCCATTTGTATGTCTTCCTTTAAAAAATGTTACCTCATCTTTAAAAATACTTTGGCATAGTGATTGTCAGAACCAGGTGAGTGGATGGAGTCGCCAACATGTAGAAGCCTAGAACCTACACCATTGTGGGTGTCAGAGCATTAGATCTAGGTCAAGAACTTATAAAGGTAGTTAAACACGTGAATTCAAAAGTAGTTCTAATTTTGGAGATCAGTCTATGTTGGGTCTTGGAAAAATGATGATTCAATAAATGGACAGAAAAAGGCAGCTCATCTACAGGTGTCAATATTTCAAAAGCAGGGTGTCTAATAAAGCTAGGGAAGAGCAGGAAACCAACAGCAGCCAAGTTCTGGCAGCACATGTGAGGAACCTTAATTCCCAGAGTTTAGGGCCAACTTCCAAGCAGGGGTTGAGTAATAGGAATAAATATTCATTTTTTTGTCTGGTTAAATAGAACTTGTAATTAATGAATTAGATTACAAGGAGGTTTTAAAATGGCACTGGACACAGGAAAGAAAAGCAACCACTCCTTTCTTAGGAACCTGAGTGAGTAGAATAAGCAGAGAGACTGCTTAATACTGAGATGGCAACAAACTACTCACCCTAAGTTCTCTATAGTCTCCTATCTAGAAAGAGTCATGGGTGGGTTAAATTTCTGGACATGGTACTGCTAGGAAAATTAAAGGACTACAAAATCAAGAAGCCAAGCAGGTGGTTAAAGTAATTTGCATTCTGGTTATTTATAAAGTGTGAAATGATTGTCTTCCATCCCTACAAACAACTATAATTGCTAATTAATTACTCCCACATTCATCTTCAATGTTCGTTATATACCATATAGTCCTATAACTAAATGCCTCTGTGGTGACATCAACCAGTTAGAGAACTATTGTTCAAAGCACAATATAGAATCACTGCAGTTGGTTCTAGGGATTCAAACTGGAAATTCAAATCAAGTCTTACCATAACTCTGATAAAGAGGTGAGGATTTGTCATGACATTATAATTAAAATAAACCACTGACTTCTTTAAGAACAGGTCTATTTTTGCAAAGATAGATAGAAAATATGGGAATGTCAGGCCAAAAGTTTTCCCCATTGTTATTCACTTTAGACTGTTTGCCTTCCTTCAAAATAATTGTCTTCATTTTTGTATTATCAATTTAAGTGAAATTTAGTATATCATTGTTTCTACCCTCTCTATATGGTCTTTCTTTGTGTCTAAAATTAAAAAGTATTTTCAATCCTACAGACATCATATGGACAGCTTATCCCATCATAACATGACTAAACTCAAACCTTCCCTTACTGAAGACAGATTATATCTCTGCCCTATATTTCACTCCAAGAACCCCTGCCCTGTTTTCCAAAAGAGCAGAATGATTATTAAAATTGCAAATGCTCTTTACATCTCATTCTAATTTTCATAATCCTCTACCTAGACACTGATTCTTGCAATGAGTTAGGAATCAGTTTGGCTTCTTAGTTTCGGTACAAGAAGCTCACCGGTTCTGAGTGGGAGAGAACCCTTTCCTTCATTGTACCCATTTACCACATATGGACCCTTCATCTTTTTTAGGCCCTGGGTCTTCAGAAGTCTGGTCGTAACTAGGGGCAACATGAAACCATGGGTGGTCTCAACTTACCATTTGCAGAAAGCTTCTGTCTCCCATTGTTGCAGCCTTCTCCTTGCAGGGCTTGCAAGCTGTCACTGCAGCTGTGGTCCTCTGTGCACCAGCCAAGGGCAGCAGCTCTGCTCCAGAAGGTAGGATGACATAAATCTAGGAAAAAGCATCTAGAGGATGAAGTTGCTATTTCCCAAACTAATATTGCCCGGAGGGTGCTTAGGGCACCCTGGTGAGTTTACTCCTGCCAGTCAATCTTGCTGCAAAAGCTATAATCCTTTAACCTGAAACCACAGACCCTGTGCGCCCGTCCTCTTTTTTCTTGTTGCCCTACACTATGCAAACAGCACCTCCTTTCACTGGCCCTCCATACCATCACCCAAAAGGTCACGTAAAGGCATCTTCTAAATGACTGTCACTGTAAAGTTCACCCTTCGCTGTCCCAGATTCTAAACCTACCCAGCAAGGCAGGCACTAATGGGGTTGGTGGCTAGAACAGGAGTAGGGATCAAGGGGAGAAATGCCTCCCCCCCTCACACACACACATATACAGAGCACTAAATCCTCTCTCCCAGGCACTGCCAGTCCAAGTCCACGTACTATCTCCCAAAGCGCAAAAATATTAAAAGCAATATTTGGAATACTTCAAGTGCGCCCTGTTTCCTCATGTCACCCGTCCAAAGCCCACACTCTTTCTCAAAAATTCGAATATTTAGGTTGACATTCTATTTTGTTTGGAAGTGGCTGGACCTAATTGTCTGAATAATTTAGTTTTCCACATCTCAGGTACAAGCTAAAATGCTAAAATGCAGCTGGGCTGGAAAGAAGAGCTCGTGGGTGCCAAAGCCATTCCGACTCCAAAGGCTGAGCTTCTGTCTTTTCTCCATCTCTCTCTCTCTCTGCGCCAGAAAACCTCGGGGCCCCTCCGGAAGGGTACAGCGCCAGCCCAGACCCCATTCACCTGCGGCCCCTGTCACCCGAGCGTGCTGCGGGCCCCCGAGCCTCCCGAAGCAGCGGAGACACTCGTCCCTCCAGCGCCGCCGAGCCCCGCACCTGGAGAATCGAGGCGGAGACACGGCCGGCGCCCACGCAGCTCGGTGCCCTTCCGCCAGTGCCCGCGTCGCGGGTCACACCGCTTGCTCGCGGGAGAAGCCCCAAGGCTCGCGGTGCAACGAGAGGCGTCCGGGCTGGAGCGCCCCGGACGTGCTGGCCACGGAGTTCTTCAGCTGCTTGATGACCACGAAGAGCAGGAGGAAAAGTAAGAAGAGCAGGAAGAAGAATAGCGCCAGGTAGAGCAGCAAGTTGAGTTCCCACTCCATGCTGGAGGCGCGGGCACCCGGTGGCCGTGCGCGCTGGGCGCGGGCGCAGCTGGAGGGTGAGGCGCGCAGCCCGCGCACCCAACTCCCGCTCCACGCCCGGCCCGCGCGAGGGCGCCGCGTTTGGGGCGCTGGCTCCCGGGTTGGCGCTCAGCCTCCTGCAGCTCCGAGGAAATGCGCCAAGGAGCTGGTGCGACTCAGGCGCCGACTTCCCGAGCAGGCGCGAGAGCCTTCGCTTCGCTGAGATCCTCTCCTGCGCTCGTGAGGACACGAGCGGATTTACCTAGGAGCGAACTCCAGCGGGCGGGGACACCAGGAGAGGTAAGGGCTGTCTCCCGGGATGTCTGGGCTTGTGTTTCGCAAATGATCTTAAGACTTCCGCCCCCATCATCCAGTAGGGTCCCTAGTTCCCTCCCTGACTAATTAATTTCTTTTATTTTCCCCTGTTCTGGCTTTCCGAAAGGGCTGGTGATGCCGTGGCCCAGAGACCCAAAAGAATTAAAGGTGAAGTTGGGGTTTAAAAGGCTATGAGAGGACTTCATGCTGTGCGATGACTTAACGGTGCTCGAGTGATTTCCAGTTCAAGCTGCCTTGCTCTTCAGAGTTGCAGATGCACTCAGTATTGAGTGTACTTATCTATAGAGAGCAGGTCATTTAGAAAAGCATTAAGAATAAAACGCATTTCAAAAGTTATATGGTACAGGGCCGGCCCGTGGCTCACTCGGGAGAGTGCGGTGCTGATAACACCAAGGCCCCGGGTTCGGATCCCACATAGGGATGGCCGGTTGCTCACTGGCTGAGCGTGGTGCTGACAACACCAAGTCAAGGGTTAAGATCCCCTTACCGGTCATCTTTAAAAAAAAAAAAAAAGTTATATGGTACAAAGGTTTCAAATGTTGGGTTGGTATTCAATTTCTTTGGTGAAAAGAGAAAAAAAATTTTACTCAAATGTTCCTTTAAGTCCTTGACTCTTGTCTGTATTTCTTTGAGATCACCCAAAGCCCATATGGTGC